CTTCTCTATGAAAAGAAAACCGAGCAAATATTAGTCTATATTAAGTTGTTTCTATATTAGTGTTTTTTAGCAAGTACTCTCGTTAGATAGGTGCAAGACATTTACCGGATGAGTTTGATTTTTTGGTACAACTTTATTTGTCTCCTTCTTCTTTTTATTGGGGTGCTGGTTGTCAAGCCATGATTTCTTTCGTCTCGAATTCTTCTTCGGAATTTCTTTTTTCTTTAGGCAAGCGGCTTGTAGACAATCCTCAGGTTCTTTAGATATATCTTCAGTTGTGCATGTAGTAGTAGGAGCTTTTTCTTCAACTTGCTTCCTAAGAATCCTCAAAGCATCATCTACTAGTTTGATGCACTCTTTTGATGCAACTGCTTGGGAAGCTATGCCATGGAAATCGTGCATGAAAAACTTCAACTGTTGCCTATCTTCTGATCTAGGGTCTTCCAAAACAATGTTTCCATGACTGTTTTGAATAGTTCCACTTCGTGCTTCTCGAGTCCATCGCTTCAAAATATAGTGGCCTGGAAGATATTTAATATTCATGACGTCAAGGGCTTTTAGAGCATGACTACACAATATACCAACTCTTTCAAATTGCCCACAATTGCATAGAACCTTTTGCTCTTCATAGTCTACAAGAACTTTGCACTCTTCTTCATATGAAAATTCTGGGTCAAGATTTGCAATCGCAACAGTATAAACATTGTGTTGTACCGATGGCTTGATGTATGCTGAGATGGATCTTTCATATTCATTCTGAAAATCTTCAAATATGTGTGGCGTGTAAACTTTGCTTGCTTGTATTACCATAGGAGTCCTCATTCTGACTCTAGGTAATTTTTTCCTAGACTCATATTCCTCATTTACCTCGTTATCTCTTTTTCCTTGCACAACCCTCTCTACGTGCTTGAAAAACCGAAGGATGTCAAGACCAGACTTTAGATGGTCTTTCAAGTCATTGTTCAAGCTCTCACTTAATTGTGTGCTTCTCATGCCTATAGTGTAAGCATTCCTCATGTAACATCTTGCCCATTTTTCTTTTACTTTGTAGATGCTGTCCAACCAAGTTTGTGTTTCCACATTGCTTCTTATGGCATTGAAAGCGTCTTCAAAGGCTTCCTCTTCCTCATACTTGTACATGCAAGCACTGAAATCAGCAAGTACATTTGGTCCATCCTCGTCTTTTTTCTTATGAGGTAAGTGCCTGATGGCATTTTGCATTATGTGAAAAGTGCACAATCCATGCCATGCTTCGGTAAATACTGCCTGAATTGCATTACCCATTGCTACATCTTGATCAGTAAAGATTGTTCTTGGTTGCTTTTTGTTATGCACTGATAGGAACGTGTTGAACAACCATTTGAATGATTCAAATGTCTCATCATATAAAAGTGCAGCACCAAAAATGACCATTTCCCTGAAATGATTGAAACCAACAAACACACCGAAGGGTCTGTACTCTTTGTTTGTCCCAAATGTTGTATCGAAGGTAACAACATCACCGAAATGAGCATAGTCAATTATCATCCTTGCATCAGCCCAAAAGATATTTGCTATATTTTCATTGCAATCTAGTTGCATGTCATATTCAAATGCAGGATTCTCATTCTTTTTATCTCTAAAATACTTGAGCATACTTCCAGCTTCACCATACATCAAGTCCCTTTGTCGCCTGGTTCGCAAGTGGTTCTTGCGATCACGACATGTGTAGCCAAGGTTCAGTGGACCACCAACTTGTCGACTTGCAAACTCATGGGCTTTTCTCGGTACAATTCCTGAATCATCTGCTGTTTCAATTTCAAATGCTTGCAAGGCTGAAATCTTCCTCTGTGATGGCATCAAGTGGCTTGTCCCAGGTAATTGCAAGACATGGTTGTGTTCAACAACTAACTCATGCACCTCATAATTTCGTGCTTCTCGGTCTATAGTAATTCCCATTCGAACATTGCAGCCGGTCCTTGTTTCTGCACGAGGACGCTTTGTATTATTATCCCTTTTGTCTTTTCTTCTGTAGCCCTCATTGGAACAAACATATCTTGCTGAGGTGATTACTCCATCGAGTTTGCTCTTGTTTTCATAATTTATCCTTACATCAAAACCAATATGACCTCCATAACATGTCCAAAAGTTCCAAGCCTCTTTTGTGGAATTGAATTTCATACCAATCTGAGGCATCCAACTAGGAACCACATTTGTCCTGTAAAAGTTACACATAACTTATTTGTTTGTATGTTTACACTACAATCATAAGGTGATATAACCTGAGAATTTAACAAAATTGTCGGTACCTGTTAGCATCCTCATTACAGCTAGTCATATTCTCCATTAGACTTTCTCTTCGTTTTTGTTGCTAGGAGAAGGACAACAAAAGGGAGACCATCTGCATTAATCTCCTGTCATGTTTTGGAAATCCCAGGACTTGATGAGCAAATCATCTGTCTTACAAGCAAATATTTGAATACATTCATGCATTTTATCTTGAGCTTGTCCAAAACAATTGAGATCACTTCTATTAAATTTTTTTCACTCTAACATAATCTAAAAGATGCAGAAAATAAGTTTTGCATCTTGCCCTTATCATCCTCCATTAAGAAAATAGTAGCATAGCAAACTCAATCTACAAATTGTGTGCCTTGAGAACATGAATACAATCAGAGCATATGTCACATACCTTCAGATTAATTGTCTTCTTTTTTGTTGCTAGGAGAATCTTTATCGCCTACGGATCAGCTTGCCTTGGTTTCGCTCTGAACATGGAGGACGATCAGAAGAAAGATAGGACAAAAGGGAGTTGATCTGTGCCGGGGTTCGTCTTCTTAGCTTGCCTTGGTTGCGCTCGGAACATGGAGGACAATCAGAAGAAAGATAGGGCAAAAGGGAGTTGATCTGCGCCACGTACAGATCACCGGTCAACATACAGATCACAGATCAACGTACCTTTGTCATATTATTTTACAAGGACGAACAGGAGGAACGAGGAAGATGAGCGGGACAAAGGCAAAGAGATCGCTGTTTGGCGCCAAGGAGGTTATCAGGGTGTGTTTTGTTTGGCGCCAGGTTCTGTTTGGCGGCAATCCTGCAGCCGTACGAGATTTTCTACCACATAATTAGCTGTTTGTTTCCATTTATTAACAGAATCAAGTGGGGGTAATGAGAGCCGTCAGATTTAAATGGATGGCTGATGTGGGTTGGTACAGTACCCGTGCAGTAATAACGTGACTGCAGAGGTAGTGGTGTTTTTCGTGTTGCTCTGTTTTTTTGAATCTTAGGGAGTGAAAGGAGTACATATATTATAGCCTTTTCTTGGGGGCCAATGTGTAAAAAGAAGCAATCATGCGCAGCCCCCACACCCACAAAAGGTGGCCCCATCCCACCGGGCTCCCCCTGGAAAACCTCGCCCCTCTGCTGCTCCGCGTCCCCAGAGAGGGAGAGAGAGTCGCAACCGCCCCCTCGTCAAACCCGCCGACGAAGGGGGAGGACGGCGACGAAGTGCCCGTCGCCTTCAAATCCCCCTCCCCTCCCCTCCCCTCGTCTTCTCCCCCCTCCACTCCAACTCCTCCCTCCCTCCCCACCCC